CAAATAAGGGTCGCGGCAGCAAAAAGAATAACAGAGAAAAAAAGAATGGGAAAAGAACATTGCCGCATCACTCAGTTATCAGCTGATTGTGTGTGGGTCCTAGAATGACATCGATCGAGAGACGGGAAGGCCATTGACGTTCCCTCCCATTGAATTATACTGAACCGTGCCTTTGAGACATCGCAAAAAGGAAAGAAGTTCCAGAAGGACCATCATCAGTATTTCCAGTTGGTTTTGAGTTCATGCTCTTTGGGATATCTGTAACATGATCAGATTGCAGGTTGGTAGGGGTAAATATTCACAATACACCCATGCTACACATCGAAATTTTGCATGATCAAGTAGTCCAGTCCAGTAGAAAAGGAGTTACGACTGAAAGGTGCGGCTAAAGGAGCATTTGACTGAAGACTTTTGAGAGCCACTGTACGAAAGTGAAGCTCTAGAACAAGGTCAGCAAATTATTTCTGTTGCCTCGGAGGCTGACGACATGCGAATTCTGCCCAAACTTCTTTGGGAGTTGTTCCAGAAAGGCGTGAGCTCCATTCCATTAAATTCTGATTTCTGCTGTCAAGTGTACATATTGCATCAGTAAGGGGAGATTAGAATAAGGGTTTGAGCACTTCAATTTTCTACAGCTCCAGCTTTTCCTAAAAGGATAACGTAGTGTACATTGCGATCAATTTTGCAATCGGAAGTGATCTCTGTGAGGGCGCTTCCACTTACAGTTAGAGTTGGGGAGGTGTTCACCCAAAGAGCATCAACCCCGACCTCGAGATCTCTGTCCAGCTGGAACGTGGTGAACCACCCGGATTACTGGTCTCTCCTTTCCCCCATTCCTTGGAATACCCAGAATACCGGCATTAGGTGTTTATCAGAGAGGCAGTTTGAGCTATTTTCTCGTTCCTGTGTTTGCCTGCAAAACTTCTAAGAGGCATTCAAATGTGTTTCTGGACACCATCGAGAAACACATTTACGGGAATGATTATGTAACTATGTACTATGATTATGTACTATGTTTTATGCAACTTCGACCGCATGCATTTATGGAAAAAAGGGGTGTTGAACCCTTGGGTCATCGAAGGCTTGAAGTAAATTCACCTCATTAACCTGCCCCAAGAGATTCACAGAGGTTCTGACTCTTCTACACACGGCCTCGTTGGTTCGTTATTTGATTCCCAACTTCCTGAATCTTACTGAGTGCTTTTAACCAATTTTTTAAATAATTTTAGCAGAGATTTTCCATTTTGGCGACTGGATGCCCATGTAATCCTCCTTCACAGCAAATCTCCTTTGTAAACTTAACTGACAGGGAGCTGGGGTTTGAGGAACGTATACGACCTTGTTTGTAGTCGCATTATGGCGATTGGATGGAGCATTTTGGCCCTCGAGACAGTGTTTTATAGAGGGCGGTTCGTCTTTGCCGCTGAACTTCGAGGCAGCTGTTGAACTTAATTTCATTTTGTAAATTGAGTGGATCCCACGAAACTCATTGTCGCGAGACCTCTTGATCTGTAGAATGGAATGTAAAGGAACTTTCGAATACTTTGAACTACCAAATTTCACGTGATTAAAAAAACAGCAACAATTCCAAAATGCCTATGTCATCAACGGTCTTCTGCCAACATGTGGGTTGGCCACGGTGCTGCACCGAGCCCCGGAGGTTACTCAAACGACCTTTCATTGCTTTTGCTGAAAAGAATTGATCTTATGAACGCTGTCGAAGATTAAACGCTGAAGAAGATCAAAAAGGTGGCAGTTGGAAACGGCGAAGTTACAGGCTATGGTTAGCCGATAAGGATATAATCGGCCGTAGTTCGCTCTCACAAGGTGGGGCTAAGATTCTCAATAATGGAAGATCACACCGTCATTCTAGGAGCTTTCTGGGGACGGTTGAAGGTGATGTAGTGGCAAGTGGCGCACTTCACACACGCATGGTCGCGGGTTCGAATCCCGAACTATTATCCCGAATATCAAGCCTTCTATCTCTTTGGAATCGTGTAATCGGTGCCAGACTCGTTTGGGAGGAAAAAAGAATTGACTTGTAAATCGGATGGCCACCGCAAGTCATTGTATAGGCCAGATATGCATTCAATTAGCCACTACAATTCTAAATGGAAGTCGAATACGTGGGGGCATCCCTCTGATTGGATTGGATAATGCCCCAAGACTTTATCTTATCTTTTTTGGGATTTTGAATTTGAGTTAGGTAGATGTTGGAAATTCCTGATGTCCCTTCATGCACTGAAAACGGATCGAATCACATCATCGCCGCCGTCGGCGTATCTGACGTAAGTCCATCGAAAGGGGAACAACTTTCAATTTCTATTACTTTAGAGATGAAGGACACAACTAACCAGTGTACAGGTTTCTAATTGGAATGTGCCGGCCTTTGATGCATGACCACACTTTTAGAGATGGCGCCAAGCTTGGCTGGACGTTCGCAAGAGGCTTGATATAAAGAAAGGGTGAACATCAATCTGTGACAGCGTGACTAGGCAATGTTTTGTTTTCCCCATGAATCATACGAACCATTGTATCAGTCGTGACCCGATTCTTGTCAATGAGTAAGTGTAAAGGCCCAGAGCAGCTCCTCTTGAACGTACCTATTACAAAGACTGGGAGTTCTTGGGAACGGCAGGGGAGATTAGTAAATCGATGGTGAGATAAAGTCGATAGAATCTGGTAAAGCATTAAGAGTGCTAGCCTGTAGTTGGTTTGGGAAATGTACGAGTTATAGGGCGGGCAGGAACTTATATACAGTTTCACGTCCAATAATACCACTTGTTTTGCCTTGCTAGCATTGCTTATAGAGCAACAGTTCGGCGCTTGACATGTTCAATTTCTTCACTCAAATGTATGTCGTGTGAGCGTTCTCAGTCGAAGGCGGAGCTCCCCAAAAAGGCGTGGCGTTGGGGCTTTTTTCCAAACTTCTTGTTTACCACACATTATTGACTTCGACGACTTTGACTTTCGTCGGAAGGTGGAGGCGTCGCGTCATTAACGTAAGAAGTCAGAAGTAGCTCTTGGAAATTGAGTACCTGAAAGAAACAAAAACTTCTGGGACCTGCCAAGGTTCCATGAACGTCCTCTCATCCATCCCGTCACGTCTGGCGCCCACGAATCGCTATAGGAATAGGAAAGAAAGAGCCACTGGGTCTACGCAGGTATGCTGTGTATAGCGTATGAAAACTGGATTTCAGTTAATTTCATCTATATATCAAACAAAGTTCCCAAACAGTCTCCATAAAGTTCACAGAGGGAAAGGAAGAATGAAACTCAAGCATGCAGGGGGTTTGGGCGGAGGTGGTGTGGTGGCAGGAGGCGAACTTCCACAAGCATGATCACGGGTTCGAATCCCGGACCGATATCCGCCTAGGCCAACCAAGCCTTCCATTCCTACGGAGTCAGTTATTTGGTACCAGACTCATCTGGGAGGATAGAAGCACTGACTTGTATTATACATCTTCTGACCACCGCAAGTCATTGTATAGGCCACCTACGCATTCAATGCGCCAGTACGATCTGAATGGAAGTCGAATGCGTAGGAGCATTTCTCAAACGGGATTGATTAATACCCCAAGGTTTTAGACTTTTATTGCAGTTTTGGAGATAAATTCAAAAAAAATTGCTGGTGGGGAAAATGCACGCTATCGACCGACCACCGGACGAGTTGTGACAGCGGACTGAAGCCAGGGCTGCGGATGGCAGGAGGACAAAACCCTGCACTAATGCTCGAACATATTATTCTCCGCCTGAGGTACTCAAAAATATAATTGAATAACTCGTGATAGATGTGCAAAGTATGCTCTATAACTGAACGTAGTGCCCTTCACTGTTTTCGCTCAAAATAATCTACTTTGCATGGATCTGACTGCAAGGATGAGGGGTCTACGTCTGGACACTTCCGCTTCGATTCTATGAGACATGTAGGAGTGAAGTACAGCCTCTATCCTGGTGCCACCGTTCCGGATACGTTCGAACCATTTGAGATTTTTATGCCCTTTTTGTTCCTAGTCGTGAGATTTCTATGAAATCGGACTTTTTTGAGGCTAAGCACCTCACCTTATCGCTCCATCTCTATAAGCCAATCGTAGGGAAAAATATTCTTGTACTAACAAAAGCTGTATGAAAATCGACCCACAGGTTTGGTGGTGAGTGGAATCGCTGCACTTGCATCTAGCTGCTGAAAAAAATTGGTGAATCTTCTCAACAACTCAGTAGTGATGGGCAGCTAAGCCTTGAACTGATTAAGGTATGACGTCATTTAAGATCCAACATAACCAATCAATAACCATTTTCTGCGAACCTACCGTTTACTTCTTGCTCCCACAATGGGTTCGGTTCACCATTTTAAGTCCCCGTTCAGTCCATGATGTGGGTATGCCTCTTCTGAGCTTCTTCCCAACTCATTGCTCATACAGCTCTAATAGACTTGCGATGATTAGCGGTGGTAGAACAAATCGCTGACTGAGTGAAACAACTTTTTGCTTAGACAAGCAAAGTTCCCCAGAGTATCGATTGGAGACGAATACGTGGCGCAACACCTGGGAAACGTTCCAAGCGGATATATTAACTTTTCATCATTTTCATGAGCTTTGCATAAAAATCTGTCAGCAAACATTTCCAGGTGGCGAAAAGCACCCACTTCTACTTTGCGGCCACTACAGCGCCCAGCTGGGGCGGGGCGAGGGCGTGACCACGGAGAGCTGGGCGAGAGAAGTGTGGCGCCCACGTCTTCAACAATACTGCTAACACAGCCTGCGCCCAGCCCCCTAGTCGCAAAATGGGCGTGGCCAGGAGGCGTGGTCATAAATACCACGCCTATGCTCATCGATCGATGTTGAGATGCCCCTCGTGAACCGCATAGTTCACCGCTATTCAAGGTCCTTTCTAAAGGCTTCATTCAGGTCGTACTGGTCTTATAACCCTATTAAAGACAGCTTTGATAGCCAATTTCAGGATTATCAGCTGATTGGAGAATGCACCGTCGTAAGGCCAATATGAATCGAGGGATAAAAGTCGAAGAGGCCGCAGCGATGGTGAGTTTTAGCCCTGACTTCTCCCGTTTTCAAGTAATTTTGCACACTTGACAACATCCCATTTCATTTACTGTTATAGGAACTCGTTTTCACGTACCTACAGGTTTTCTGGGACATGATTCCCATTCATGTCGTTTCGATACGACTTCCTTCGTTCTCATTAATAATCGATTTAAGGTCGTAACTTCCAGCGGGTGTACTAGGTTTACAACTGCTGGCTGCACTAAAACTATCTTTACCTCCCATAAAGGACCAGGAATCCAAAGGTCCTCCAACTACCAAAGCCTCTCGGCTCGATGTGAGAGCTATCTGCTCTCTGTTCTTGCTTTTCCCCGCAACAACCAAAAAATCACGTGAAGTACGGTGTTTGATGGATATGGCACACACTACGTCTTATTTCACGTCGATTTTAAATTCCACGTCAAAAAAACTAGGTGTTTGAAGTTCTTTTTGTTAAGTTCTGGGTCCTTTCATAAACTATTTGTTCTAGATTCTAGATTAAACAAAGAGCTTTGCAAAGGACTAGTTGGTAAATTAATCTCGCAAACTTAGTAAATCTGCCATTTTTTGAGTGCTGCTGCAAAAATAANTGCTTTTCCCCGCAACAACCAAAAAATCACGTGAAGTACGGTGTTTGATGGATAGGGCACACACTACGTCTTATTTCCCGTCGATTTTAAATTTCACGTTAAAAAACTATGTGTTTGAAGTTCTTTTTGTTAAGTTCTGGGTCCTTTCATAAACTATTTGTTCTAGATTCTAGATTAAACAAAGAGCTTTGCAGAGGACTAGTTGGTAAATTAATCTCGCAAACTTAATAAATCTGCCATTTTTTGAGTGCTGCTGCAAAAATAAATTGAAGTTGCCCATTCTCTCAAACACTTTGGGGAAGTGGCTAGACGACTTGCACTACGAGTACTGCTGACATTTTTTGCTCGTTGAATATTACATTATTCTTAACTCCTTCCTGTATCCCCTCCTGATGTAACGGAATGGTTTTGTTGAAAGCTGGGATATTAGTCAAATGCTTTTTGATTAATCAGACAAGAATTTGTGAGAAGAAATTTTAGAGTTCTGCTGGCGATTTCAAAATGCGTGGGGGTTTACGGGCTAGGGGAGGAGCCAAAAATCGATTTCATTTTGATTGTTGTGACGTCACTTTGGCATCACCGAACGACTTCTCAGCCTTTCAATCGATACGGTGCCCATATTGGAACCTTTGCTCCTTAGGA